TCCAGCAACTTTGTTTTCATTCCTGTTGGAGTTTATGTTTGTTGGACTGATGGAGTCTGTGGTTGTGTGACTGATGGAGTCTGTGGTTGTTGTACATTGTAGCTGTTGCAGAAGGGACAGGAGGAGCAGCAAAAAAAGTTGGAACATTGCTAGACAGAAGTGATGCTGGGGTTCAATGTGGAATCGGCTGTCACCCAGTTAGGTTCACCTTCTCAAACAAGCCATTAGTTTTTGATGTCCTTGGCAGAACGGTAAAGATTCCTGGAAAAGCACCAGGAGAAAACAATATCCCTGGTACATGAATGTAAAAATCTTGAAATAGATAGTTCAGTACAACTTTCAAAGACGGTCAATGTCGGCCTGGTTCACGTGGCTGTTAATGGATCGAGCAGTTTCACTCAGCTGCTGTGGGGAGGTTTTAAACCCATTGAACTCAAATGGAACCACTTTCAGACCTGGATCAATCCCATTATCCCCTCTTTTCACATTCCCAAAACATTCCCCCTGGTGATGGAAATACATGATGAGAGGCAAACTCAGCACAGCATTTTATTACTCCTGCCTTGTGTTGGAGAGGAAGTGAATGATGGCAAAAAAAAAAGCTGGTGGGGTGAGAGTATGCGTGAGGAGAAGAGATACAGCAAATTGAGTTCTCCTAGAATGCACTGTCAGTGGAAACAGATCCATCAGCAGCCTTCCAAAGGCAATCTAATCACTATGTGAAGAGAAATCATTTGCAGGCCTCATGGGGAAGGTGCTGGGGCATGGGACTTGATTTGATTTATTTTTGTCTCATGTACCTAGGTATAGTGAAAAGTTTTGTTTCGAGTGCAGTACAGGCAGATCGTGCCATACAAAGTGCATAAGGGTAATAGAACAGAGCAACGGATACAATGTTACAGCTGCAGCAAATTTGCACAAGGAATGAGATCAACGTTAAATTTAAAATTTGAGAGGTCCATTCAGAAGTCTAATAACAGCGGGGAAGAAGCTGTTCTTGAATCTGTTCATAAATGTATTCAAACTTTAGTATCTTCCACCTGACAGAAGAGGGTGGAAGAAAGTATAACCAGGGTGGGAGGGGTAACCAGGTGATTGTATTGGTTGCTTTCTTGAGGGAAATATAGATGGAGTCAGTGGATGGGAGGCTCGTTTGTGTGATGGACTGAGCTGCGTCCATGACTCCTTATAGTGTCTTGCAGTCTTGGAAAGAGCAGTTGCCACGCAATGCCGTGATGCATCCAGATAGGATGCTTTCTATGGTGCATCTATAAAAATTGGTAAGAGTCTTTGTGGACATGCCGAATTAACTTAGATTCCAGAGGTGGATGGGGACTGGTTGTAGAGCTCAAACAGACAGCACATACGTGACAGCCCTTCTGTCCTACGGGATCTTACGATTCCAAGTATGCTTATACCTGAGAGGAGAGGCAGCTCAGGGTGAAAGATGGTGAATTATGAGATTGTCTCTTTAGGTTGTGATGGTCAATTTGTTTCCCAATCCAGTGGAGGCAGCTTGAAGAAAAGATGTTCCAGTCACAATGAAGGTTTCCATCCACAATATGATAACATTACATCAAAATATATGGTGACGCAATTGAACATCTATTATCCCCATTCCCCCTCACCCCTCCCCACCTACTGCCCATTGCCTCTTCAATTGTCCAGGGACTACATTTGGTTTGAATGGGCGGAGCACAGCTCCTTCAGTTTGACACCAATCAAAGTCACTCTGTTCCACAAAAAGTGAGATTGCTGAAATAAAAGCCAACAATACTAGAAAACATTTCGCAGGTCAGGCATCGTTTGTAGAGAGAGGGAGAATGCAGGATTAACATTTCAGGACAATGGCCTTCATTGAAACTGATGAAAGATTTAGTTGCCATCCCCAAGGCAACTATCTTCCTGTACTGTTCGTTGTGAGTTACAATTGAGGGAAGCATGGAGAGTTGCTTGATTATCTGTCCCATTTCAATCGTCCATTAGAGACTCCCATGGTTGATGTGGAGGTTCTTCTGTGCATGGAACTCATCAAACTGCATGTCCATGCCATCCCATAATATAGTAGTTTATTACAGGACTTAAGAGCTATTTGAAATGTGGTGTATAACTCTTTCCCTTGCCCCCTTCACCTTTGTTCTTCCTTTCTTGATACATTTCCCCTTTTGGTGTCTTTTTCATCTTCCGGCAGGTAGGTTGGCCTCAATAATGCTGTCTCTTATCTCTTTGTGAATAGGCTGTGGCCAACAGGAAACATGTAGAGAGTGTGGCTAAGAAGAAGCTCGATTCATTGCTGAAGGAATCGAAAATCAGAGACCGGGAAGATCCAGACAGCTTCAGTGTGAATGCCATCCCTCAAGCAGGGAAACTGTGTCAGAAATCAGACTCAAAGAAGGTAACCCAATTCTTCCTCTACCCTCCCCTCCCCCAGCCACCACCACCAACACCTCACACATGGCACCAGCCCAGGGCACCTCAATTCTTTCAGTTTGACATAAACATTCCTTGTCAGCCATGACTCAGTGGGAAACATGCTGACTCCTGAGTTTAGAAAATGATGAGTTTACAACAGACACTCAAGCACAAAGTCTCGGCTGTTTGTCCCAAGCCAGTAGTGATGGAGATGATGCCCTGTCGGAAGGGGGTTGTCTTTCAGTTTGTTTTCCCGCTAGGATGGATTTGGGAGATTCTGCGACACCATTTCTATGAAGAGCAGGATATATATCCCCTGATGGTCTGCCCAGTATTTACCATTCAATCAACTTCACAAGAATCAAATTATCGAGTCGTTATTATATTATTTTTTGCAGGACCTTCTGTGTGTGAAGTAGGTGCGCTGTTTTCTACATTATATCAGGGACTACACTTCATAAAGTACTTTATTGGCTGTAAAACACATTGGAATGATGTGAAGGGTGTTATAAAAATGCAAACCCCTCTTTTTGATATTCAGTTCCCAAGGTCCATTCACTTTAACACAGGGTCTGTGAGTTGTACCATCCTGAAATATTCCCCACTGGCATCTGAGGTGAATTCCAAACCAAGTGTGAGGCTGGGTGAAATTGGTTGTAAGCACTAGGATGAATCAGCAGAAACTCATACTTGGTGCAAAATATGTGGCCAATTTCCATCGCCCTGTTGTGTCACTGGCAATAGTAAATTTAAGTCCACCTGCTGGATATCTCATCTGACTGTTAATAACCTCTTCCAAGCTTACAACCCTTTGAGATCTCTGTGTTCTTCCAATTCTGGCTTCTTATGCATCCCTGTTTACTATTGCTTTACCATTGACGGATATGCCTTCAGGTACATAGGCTCTAAGGTTTTGAAATTCCTAGACTAAACCTCTCTGCCTCTCCCTATCTCACGCTCTCTTTCTTCCTATTTAAAACTCACCTTAAATCCTGCATTTTTCAGCAACTTTTAATCACCTAAATAATATTTCTGAATGTGGCATGGTGCCAACTTAAGTTTGGCAATTGCTCGTGTAAAATTCCTTGTGATAGTCTATATTGAATAATAAATGCCAATTTTTATTCAATTGAAATGGGTCACCAGAAACTGAATATCTTTGTAAAGTCTGTCTGCATGTCAGATTGGCAGGAATAGCTTGGAACACAAGAACATGAAATGCACTTGAGAGTTTTCTAGAACAATCTTTTAAAGCAGCAACTAGGGAACAGACCATTTCAACTCCAGCATTGTGTAATGTGACAGGGTTAATTATTAATCTTATAGTAAAGGATACTCTGTGGCAGAGTGATCATGACGTAATTACATTTCATATTAAGTTTGTAAGTTAAATGGCTCAGTCTGAAACAATAGCCAGTCAATTAAACAAAGTTGCAAAGACTTAAGAGACAAGTTGGTTAAGGTAGATTAGGAAATTGTATTAAATTATATTCATGATAGTAAGTAAACATAGAAATAATTTATGTATACATTTGGAATGAAAATTAATTTGGAATTTTGCTAAAGCTTGGCTAACAAAAGAAGTTAAAGTGAAGGCAAAATACTGCTGATGTTGGAAATCTGAACAAACAGAAAATGCTGGAGAAACTCAGCAGGTCTGGCAGCTTCTAAACTTCTCAAGTTTGATAGGATTCTTCTTCAGAACTTGAAACGATATTGTTGGCAGATTTTACAGTGGCATCAGTAGTTCTGATGGCTGCATGAAGTTACCTGGATCTCCCTCACTGTATCCATTATCGTATAATAATTATTTAAGGGTAAACTATTTCTATTGTATGACAATGGCAAAACAATAACTTGCTTTTATATAAAACAAAAAGGTCAGAGGCACATTATTAAGAAAAAGGTATACTGAATCAAAGAGGGAAGAATTGTGAATTGGTCACCAAAACATCAGTTAAGGAGGTAGGTGCTGAGGAACCTGTGAAAGGAGGAGAGAGAAGTAGAGAGGAAAAGAGGTTCAGGAATCAGTTTGGTGTCTAGGCAGCTGGGTGCGGAGCCACCTATAGTGAAGTTAAGGTAATCAGAGCAGGCATGAGGCCAAATTCTGAGATGATTGTAGAGTTGGAGGAGATTACAGGATAAGGGAGGGATGAGGCCATGAAAGAATGTAAATATTGTGGGATCAGGAACCATTGTAACTCAGTGAGGTTAGGAATGTTGAGTGAGAGGAATTTGGTGTGCAATGATGATAAAATAACTACAATTATACTGGCATAATGTCCCGCAATACATGTGTGATTTAGTTGAGAAGTTCATTCCACTCACACAACAAAGCTAGTTTTAAACAGTAGTCATACTTATTATCTGTCCTGTATCAGTTGACTTGCAGTAATGGCTATAAGAAGATGGAGGAAAAGCAGAAAGCACGCTCAGAGTGAGAGGTCCTTCTGAAATTTTCTTCTGAAATCATGAGCCACATTGCTTGAGCTAATGTGGGGAGGGCCGTCATGTATTTGAATTGTCCTGTACACTTCAGGGACAATTCTATTATTTACAGTGAACACATCAGGGAGAGGGAGTGGTTTTTGTATACTTGACCAGCCCTGTATGTATTGAGTGGCCGTGGTTCCTGACTATCCTGTACATGTCAGGTTGGGAGAAGTGGGTTTGTCCTGTCTTGTAAATGTCAGAGGTTACCTTGTCCTGTACATATTGTGTTGAGTTTGTGTATTTGCTTTTCCTGTACATGTTGAGGGGAATTTGTGTAGTTGCCCTGTTTTGTACATGTTGCGTTGAATTTGTGTATTTGGGCCCTGTCCTGTAATTGTTGAGTTGGTTTTGTGTGTTTGATATAAAGTTAGCTATCTACTGAATCTTCACGATAGGATTTTGCAATATAAAACAAGTTAAGGTGTGGATCTATTTGCTCACCATCCGAGCATCCCTCTCTCAAAGGCGAGTGGACTTTTAATCTTTTCCTCCACTTCTTCTCCTACCTCTCCCTTCCCCTGTGAGAGTCCTGCAGGTAACCAGAACCAGTGTTCCCCTCAAACTTTGACAACCTTGCCTTGGCTTTTACTTATGAATGTTTTGCTGATAGCACCCAATGGTTACAGTCTAGAGCTATCACACAGTAAAAGCCACGCCTCATTATTGGATATGAAGCATCCTTTAAATAATGGACCAAGGATTGAGCTGGAGCCTAAACTTTGCACTTACCCTTCTGACAGACCAAATGTGTTTGCTACTTCAGGCACAGCCTTAAAGAGACAAATCAGTTATCAGGTGATCAAAATATTGCTTCATGCTCTATGGACAACTATGGAGTTAGAAAGTTGCAACTTGAAAGTCGACTGCAGAGATTAAGAACACAACATCCAGATAGTGGTGTGCTGCAGGGTGTAGGGGGGATTACACTGTCAGAAATACCAGCTTTTGGTAAGATATTAAACCAAAGCCTTGTATGTTCTCTCAAGGTGAATGCAACAGAGCACTATTTCTCTCCCACACATCCATAACATCATTAAGCATCACTCACACTGATTATCCAGTTATTGTCAAATTGCTGTTGTGGGAGCTTGCTGTCTATAAATTGGCTCTCATGATTCTTATGTTATAAAAGTGGATACACTTCATAAGCAGTTAAGTGCCTTAGGACTCCCTAAGGTTGTGAAAGTCACAGTATAATGTTAAGTTCTCTCTTTCTTTAACAAAAGCCTTATCAATCTCAGTTTTGAAAGAACCAATTGACCCGCAATGTCAAGAACCCTCTATGGGCGAGAGTTCTGGATTTCCACCACCCTTTGTGTGAAAAAAAAACCCTTCCTGGATTCATTTCTGAAAGGCCCCATTCTAAGTTTTGGATTGTATCCTTTGCTCTTGACACTCCACCAGAGGAATTACTTTCTCTATATCTCCTCTGTCAAATCCTTTTAACATTTTAAACACCACTTTAATCCTATCCTTTAACAGTGACAAATGATGTTTTGCTTTCTCTAAGCTCACTTATCAGTAATTACAGGGCAATTCACAACACAAGCCTCCACAAGCTGCACAAAGTTCTAATTGAAACGATAAGATCTGCAATTACAATTCAAATGATGTGTTTTATTAAAGCTGAAATGAGCTTTAACACACAACACCTTAAGCTCATCCACTTCTGTTTTGTATTCAGTGTAGTTATACTCAACAGACTTGGCCTTGGGGATTTTGAATTACAATTGCAGCAGGTTCAATGGTTCTTCAACAATGCTTGGCAGTTGTCTTTAGGAAATTTTTGGGTAGAATATCGTTTGAGAGATAGATAAGGCTCCCGATGCTAGTTAGTCATGTTCTTGAAAGCTTTGTCATGTGCCTTCCAATCTCCAGCTACCATGTCCAATCAGACATCAGCATCTCACCATCTCCAATATTTTAATAGGTAATAAGTAAAAGAATTCAAAGAAAATGTAAAAGAAAATAAACTCCCCACCTACACTCACTTTACTTGCTCCATCCCCGCCTCCTTGACCTGTCCGTCTCCTCGCCACCTATCTGCTCCTTTATCCATCTTCCATCCGCCTCCCCCTCTCTCTCTATTTATGTCAGAATCCCCTTCCCCTCCCCCATTTCTGAAGAAGGGTCCAGACCCGAAACATCAGCTTTCCTGCGCCTCTGATGCTGCTTGGCCTGCTGTGTTCATCCAGCTCCACACCTTGTTATCTCAGATTCTCCAGCATCAGCAGTTCCTACTATCGCTGAAAAGAAAATAAATCTTTTTTGTTTTTAAAATGCCCCCCTGTAATTTTTCTCCTCAGATTTTTCCTCTTTGATCTTTGATTCCTGGACACTCCAGGGCAATGCTGAGGGTTATTGAGTGGAGGCCTATCCCACCTTTTCTCAATTTTTTTGTGATTCCTGTTTCACCCAAAAGTGCTGACCCAAATTCAGGCATAGAAGCGGCCAGCAAGTGACCTAGAATGTTTCACTTCTCTTGTTGTAGAGTACAGTATTGGACAGTAACCATCATCTGGGTTTATACTCGACCCCATATCCAGATTTTAGCTCGTCTGTCTACCGTTCAGAATGGATAGTGTGTTTCCAGATGTAACTTGAAATAGGGGAACTGGAAACTGCCTTGGTAACACGGCCTGATCTGCTCTGAGTGCCTGAGGTTCTCCCACAGGGGACAGTGCAACCTATTATTATAGTGATAATACCCTCACTCAGTTTTTGTATCTCCAGCCTCTCCAGCAGCACTGACTGTCACTTTGAGCAGACTATACTCCCATTTCCTATTGGCGGACAATGTTATCTCCCTATAATGTTGTGAATAATAAGAGGAGTGTGGTGAGGAGTGGCTGACCTACACACACAAACATGGGTTGTCCTGGTATGTTTTTAGTTGTGAGCTTGGAGATGAAAGGCCTGTGATGATGTTATCTCCATGCAGAGTGCGCCAGCAGAGACATGTTTTTCCCAGGCTGCTGTGCTGTTGACCTAGTGTTCAGTATTCTTGAGCTCCCTATCTAGCAGGGAGGCATGTTTCTGCCCCATCTGAAGATGACAAAGGGAGGTAATCCTGATTGATGCTGGCTTGTTGTCATTGTTCACAGTTTGTCTCCAGCCAGTACACCTCTGGAGAAGCCTCTGGGCTGCAGACAGATGCTATCTTCTCTCTTGTTAAAAGGACTAGCTCAGGCCCAGCCAATCACCCAGGCCATGACTACACTCCAAACAGCAACAATTGGTGAGGCTGAGAGCACATCAGTCCATGTAGGTGCTGATTAGAAGCCATGAAGGCTAAAGGGGTGATGTGTAAGGTCATCCAGAGTAGGGACAGAATGGATGATGATAAGTTAAAGACAACATTCTGAATTGGAAATAAAGAGCGAGTCCAGTGATGCAGAAAGGGATTTGGCCTGAATAAACTGGGGATGAAAGGCTAATGGTGCTCAGGCCATGATGATTTAATATCTGTGATGAGAAGCAATGCTGTGATACTGTGGGATAAGTCAGTACAACCTGTGTTTGAGAAGGGCCTGGAGCCTCAATCAGTAACTATAGCACAATTAGTTGCAGCATATTTTTTGAATTTGTGGGGAATGTTGCACTTGGCTTCAGTACTGATTGCAGAAATTCCAGAGAAAAGGCATACATAGGAAATTTCATCACCCCCTTCCCTCATCACCCTGTACCTTATGATCAAATAGTGAAGGACTGCATTCCTTACTTGCAGTATCCTCCATGTCATTTCCAGGGCAGGACACTGGGGTATGTTACCCTGTCCATATCCCTTTCAAAGTTGAGGTCTGACTGCAATCAGTGGGAGAGGACAATAAAGTATGTATGATTAATCAAAACTCATTATACAGCGAGTTTGAGACAGTGGCAAAACTGTTTTGATTTCCTGTTCATATATGGGAGCAAATTCCTCTGGAGTATTAGACCCTTCTATTGTTTGTAAACAGTTCCTCTTTACCCACTGAACCGACAGTACAACTGGAGGCTAATTCACTGATTACTGTCCAAGAGCTTTGTGAGAAAAATCCATACTGCCTCCAGTCCTCTAAAGAGGAGGCCTGAGCAGAACCTGCCTATTGGAGGTGTTGCCGTTTGGAGGGACATTAAATTGAAGCCATAAGATTGCATAGAAAGCATCTGGTTGAAATGCACTGCTATTCTACAATCTTGAATGCATGGATGAGACTCATGTGGATAGACTCTGTTCTTCACTCTTGTATGTGATTAATGTAGAGTTGATGATACAGCTGCTTGCAGCTGTTGTCCACACTCAGAGGAATGGGAGGAGGCCATGGAACCTTTTCCACCCTTCAGTGAGATCATGGATGATCTGTGCCTTAACTCCATCCACCTGCCTTCGTGCATATCTTTTGATATGGACGGCAAAAATCTTTCAATCATAGACTTAAGCTGATTCACTGATTTAGCATTGAATACATCCAATCCTTTTTGACTCACATGAATTTTTCTCTCTCTTAACAGGAGAAATGCAGCTCTGGGTCCGTGTCTACAATGGAAAAGTCTGGGGTAAGTTGGTTGTTCCTTGAACTGTCCTCATGACTGACAGTAAAATAACCTGTGAAGAGTACATCGCGGTCTCCAAGATTCAATTGAAGCAAGCTAGGAATAGGACCAGGAGACATAGGAGAAGAATTAGTCCATTTGGTCCTAAGAGCCCACTCCCTCTCTTAACTCTATTCTCCTGCCTTCTCCCTGTAACCCTTGATCCCCTTACTAATCGAGAACCTGTTTATCTCTGTCTTAAAGACACTTAATGACTTGGCCTCCACAGTAACACTTGTTATTGTGGCAGCTGTAGATCTGATATTCATGCCTCTGAATTGGAAAGTTGCGTGTTAAGTCCCAAGTCCACAGATGGAACTTTCAACAGTGCAGTATTCCCTCAGTCCCAGCACTGGGAAATATCCAGAGATAGTAGGAACTGCCGATGCTGGAGAATCTGAGATAACAAGGTGTAGATCTGGATGAACACAGCAGGCCAGGCAGCATCAGAGGAGCAGGAAAGCTGACGTTTCGGGTCTGGACCCTTCTTCAGAATTTTCTGAAGCTTTCCTGCTCCTCTGATGCTGCTTGGCCTGCTGTGTTCATCCAGCTCTACATTTTGTTACCCCTTAACTGGGAAATATCCGCCTGGATTTTGTATTCAAGTCTCTTATTTGTCAGATTTGAACCCACAACACGGTTGAATCTCCCTTGGGAGAAACAAAAATGGACGGTAATTGTCACTCTGTGAGTATTACCTACGAAATCAAATGAAACCAATAAATAAGCCTGACTATAGCTTGAACAGACATGATGGAAAGTAATGGTAACCTGGGCTATAATGGAAATTTAAGTCCAGCCACTGCTTAGAAGGAGCAGTGCTAGACTGCGATTGTGCTGGATTTAATGAATGGTGAAGACTGAGCTGATCTGAGACCCTGGAGACTGCAAGGAAGCAAGCGAGACAGTGAGGAGCCAGGCAGCTTTGACAAATCCTCCAGAGCTCATTGTTGTGCTGTCAGAATCCACCATGGTTCAGGCCACAGCATCACGGAGACATGGCAGAGAGTGAAGGCTTTTTAAAATGCAGTGATTGAACATGGAATTTAAAGAATGAAAACAAGCCATTTAACCCAACAGGTCAATGCATATTTATGCTCTACAAAAGCCTCCTCGCATACCTCATTCTATAAACATACCTTTTCTTTTATTGTGTCTGCCTCATATGCTCCTACAGATTCTCCTTAAATACTTCCATGCTGTTCTCTTCAACCACTCCTTCATTCTCCACATTCTCACCCCTGCCTAATTAAAATGAATTATTAGTTTTATTCATGGCTATCTTATGTCAATGGCTGTTAGTTTTGATTTCCTCCACTAATGAAATCATCTTCTCTATGTATAACCTGTCAAACCCTTTTGCAATCTTAACACTTAGCATTCAACTGTGGCTTCATGGGTAGCAGTTCTGTCTCTGAGTTAGATAACTGCAGATTCATAGTCACACTTCACTGACTTGAACCCAAAAATAATGTCTTACACTCCAGTGTGGCACTGTTGGACATGCTATTTTCTAGGCCCTGTCACCTCTCAACAAAGATAAAAGATCCTGTGGCACTACATCCGAGATAACAGACAAGTTATCCCTGATGTCTAGGCCAATATTTGGTGAATATAACATCATTAAAAATCAGGTCAGCTAAACTTTGGCAAAGTAATAATATAAGCTATGGAAAGTACTTCCATATTAATTTTATATAGAAACATATTTCCTATGCATTTTACATTACATAAAATATACATTTTAAAATTCCATCTTTCACTTTCCTCTTAACACTTCAGAAAAATAATTTTTCAGATTTTTTTGTGGAAACTTGCTGCGCACAATTCAGCAATGGCATTTCCAACATTACAACAGGGAACAGATTGAAAAGTACTTCATTGCTCACTTTGGGATGTCTGGTGTCATGAAAAATGCTGTATAAATGTGAACTCCATGATAGAATTAAATGATTCTAAGGAACTTTGTCCCATTTCTGTGTGGCATCTGTATGTCTGCTGGCTTTTTTCAGATGCCATACAATTATTGCACTGGTACAGTGGATGAGAAGCGTTGTGAGGGTGATAACTTTCAGACTGCTGGCACGACTATGTTGTACATTGTCTGAGCTGAAAACCTCAGTGTTGGATTCAAAGTAGGAATGTATATCTTAATCTCTCGAGGTTTTTGTACCCTCAAGGTGATTAAAGTGCAGGAGGTGGACAGATTGTAAACAGAAACTGTGTCACACTGGCTGTAATTTATATTCGTTTAACTTATCATTTCAAAAGATGCAATTCTGTGCCTAACCTTTGTCTATTCTTTCCCTTTATGATTCTCCCCGATGTCTCTCTTTGTTTCTGTCTCTTTCTCATTCTGCATGTGATTTTCTGTTGCTCTCACTGTTCATGTGCCTTTCTCTGCTTTCTTTAATCTTCATTTCTGTTCTCTGTATGAATGCCACTATGCATTTCTCTGATCATTTGTAACTATATTTTTTTCTGTTTATTGCGTGTGCATGTACTGCTCTCTCGGTCTGGGTCATTCTCTGTTTGTGTATCTTTTTTTGTGGTTCTCCATTTGGAATTCTGTCTCTGTGTCTCTGGTTGTGTGTTTGTCTCTCTCTGGTTCACTTTATGTTCATGTATCTCTCTGCCTGTGTCTCTTCCTGTCTGGTTCACTTTCTGCCTGTATATCTCTCTGCCTGTATGTGCGTGTGTGTGTGTATGTGCGTATGTCTGTCTGTCTCTCTCTCTGACTCACTTTCTGTCCATATTTGTTCATTCTCTCTCTGTATCTACCTGGTGTACTCTGTGTGTCTGTCTTTATTTTGTCTGTGTGCCTGTATCTCTTCCCCTGTTAGAGTAAAGTTGAAGATGGAACTGACTCTGGAGAAGATCCAACCACTAACAAGAGACACAGTCGGTCTTTCATTGGCAGCTTCTCCAAGCGTAAGGTCAGTGGGGGCTGGTGCTGTTGGGATGGTGCAGAGTTAGAGTACAGATGGAACTCTTTGGCTGAGAGTTTACGCTGTCAAGAGAGGAGCAGTGATAATCACTGGTGCAGTTTCAGAGCAGCTAGTACAAACTGACAGGTTAATTACGATGGAGTTTCAGTATGACCCCTGCACAGGTAGTTGGGTCAATTATGAGGTATCAGCTGTGGCTCAATGGGAGATCTCTTTTGGTGCACTGATAGTGTCCCTGCCTCTGATCCAGAAGGCCTGGTTTTATGTTCCACCTGTTCCAGAAATGTTTCGTAGCATAGGCTGGGGCTATTTGCCCTGGACCGTTGGAGACTGAGGAGTGACCTTATAGAGTTTTATAAAATCATGAAGGGCATGGATAAAGTGAATAGCCAAGATCTTTTTCCCCAGGGTAGGGGCATCCAAAACTAGAGAGCATAGGTTTAAGGTGAGAGGGGAAAGATTTAAAAGGGACCTGAGGAGCAATTTTTTCACGCAGAGGGTGGTACATGTATGGAACGAGCTGCCAGAGGAAGTGGTGGAGGCAGGTACAATTACAGCATTTAAAAGGCATCTGGATGGGTATATGAATAGGAGAGTTTAGAGAGATATGGGCCAAATACTAGCAAATGTGACTAGATCAGTTTAGAATATTTGGTCGGCGTGGACAAGTTGGACCGAAGGGTCTGTTTCCGTGCTATGCATCTCCAAGACTCTATATCTGAACAGGTTAATTCAAAATATCTCCAGGTTTGAGTTCGAAAGGGCTGTAATTGCATTTCTGAGCAGGAAAATATCTGTGGCTTAGTGTGGCCATTAAGTCTAAGCCAGGAGGCCTGGGTTCAAGTCCAACCCCCTCCAGAGTTGTGTAGTAACATCTCTGAACAGGTTGATTCAAAAATATCAACAGCTCTGGGTAATACTTTGGCCTCAGGGTAAGAGATTATGGGTTTAAGTGTCACACTCGGGTCTTGAGCATGTGATCTAGGTTAACTCTCCAACTGAAGTACTAATCAAGGCCTGCCTTTTGAATAAAGCATTTAACTGAGACCCCATCTGCCATCTCAGGTCAACATTGAAAAATAAATCCATGGCATATTGAAAGAAGTGCAGGAAGTTCCCCCCAGTGATCTGGACAAAACATACATTCCACAACCAACATCATGAATAAAACAATGATCTTGTTCATTGCACAATGCCATTTCTGGAAGCTACTGTGCAAAAAATGACTCATTTCCAAAATGTTGACACTTCAGAAGTGCTTAATTGGCTGGACACATTGAGATGTTCTCAGGATATGAAAGACATTATATCAATGCAAGCATTTCTTTAATCTCTTTCTATTCGATGGTGCCCAGCCAGCATGGTTCTACTGAGATTATGATGTGTGGAAGTAGAGATGGCTCCTGGAACGGGATGCAGCTGTCCTGAGCCTGTATCTGCACAATGGAGAAGTTGTATACAGGAAGAACATTGAATAACTTCATAGGAACCTTCCAAGTGGCTCAGTGGGTAAAGGCATCACCAACAGCAATGAGCTATTCCAGCCAGACATTCTAGGTTCAGTGTTGGGCAGAGTGGTGGGTAGGGGTCACTGGTGTTAACTATTTGGATGTTCTTTGACCTGGAAAGGGGAACAATTGCCTGGCATATTCAACATGGCTGCTTATTTAGATGAGGGCAGTCAGTCTTGGCTATGAAGACTGCCAGAGTCAAATAGCTTCCTGGTATTTGCTGTCGAGGGTCACACACAGAGAATGACAATGCTGTAGTGAAGGGCACAGTCCCTATAGAATGGGATCATGGCCAGTCGTCCAACAGGACAGTACTAATTGCCAGGAGCATTGTGGTGTCAATGTTCTGTTCATCATGTTCAGCCAACCAAAGATTAATCTGCTGTTAACGGATCATTATTGCAGAAAAAGACAGTGAAGATGAAGAAGTCATCGAGCTTGGAGGATGATGAGGAAGATCACGATCATCAAGCAAGTGCTTGTAGAACAACAGTGAATGTGATGAGGTAAATGATAGAGATGAACTCGAGATCCCCATGGGAGGAGTTACACAGAGAGATTGTCAATGGCCAACACTGGTGAGAAAAAGAACCTCCCATGGAGAGTAACTATTGGAAAGAACTTTAACATATCAGCAATCTGAACACGTTTTCCAGAGTTTAGCAAGCAGATGCAAGGCTAATCTCTCTCACTTGGTCAGGGACGCCATTCTACCCATCTTAATTTGCCAAAAATGTGTCCTAGTTTCAGCACCCAATTGTTGCCTGAATAATTCCATGTCTTTCACCTCTACCATTTCATCTAGAAGTCCATTCTAAATGTTCATAATTAGTTGTATGAAGAAATGTTTTGATATTGGTCTTAAATTTGCATTTTATCAGATTCCCCTTGGCAATTTATTTCACAGCTCTGTCTGGATTTACTTATTCCATTCTCTTTTTCAAAAAGGAATGAATTAATTTGTGTCAACGGTGGCAAGGCTGGTATTTATTGCCCAAATATCTTGACTGTCTTTATTTATTTATTTATGGCATCACATTTGTGCCCAGACTTGGGAAGGATGAGAGGCTTCCTTCACTCAAGGACGTCAGTGAAGCTGTCACCATTTTACAACAGACTGACACCTTTGTGATCGCTTGTTCCATATTCCCAGAATATTTTTAACTAAATTAAAATTCTCGACCTGATAAATCTGCGATAAACAGATACTTGAAATATATGGGAGGTAAGATTTATAGGCACAGGCAGGAAAGTGGTGTCACTTTAGCCATAATTTTATTGAAAGGCAGCGAACACTCCAGGGGCCATGTGACCTAAACCTGCTTCTGTTTCTTCTGTGAATGAAATTTAAATTCACATTCATCTGGCTTACTAGTTCAATGAGCAAATTACTACGCTACTCCTTTGTAATTATGTTGCCAGATATATCTTCACGTGATCACCTCTCAACCACATCATTAACAAGGGTGAAAATCCCAAGTTCCTCCAACCTGTGCTCATAACTTTGATCTTTGACACCTGGCATCAAAGTTGTGATTCTTCCTTGTACATCTCCACTATTTGGATCCTCAGCGACCAGAACCGGCCACAGAGCTCAAGGTGGTGGGTGGGGAGGCAGGGGGGTTGAGGGGAAAGGTTCTGATCACAGCACTGTCCAGTTTGAGCAAGTCTTTATCTGAGTTACATACTATTGTCTGGAGCTCTGATTTTGCTGGCAGGTCTTGCTCACTGAACACAAGGGATTGCACAGAAGGAGGTCATCCAGTCGATTGTGCCTGTGCCAGTTGTTTGACAGAGCTACCCAATTTGTCCCAGATCCCTGCCCCTAGCCTGTAGCCCTGCAAATCTTTCCTCTTTTCAGCATGTCCTTTACTGGGCTCTGGGAGCAGAGGGGCGTGATGTGATGAGATCTACTGAGGCAGTGATGATTTATGGGAGAAACTAGGACAAGGGGGCACAGTTTAAAAATAGCGGATTTCCCATTTAAGATAGAATTGCGGAGCAATTTCTTTTATCTCGGAAGGGTGTTGATTCTTTGGAACTCTCTTCCTCAGACCGTGGCGGAGGTGAGCTCATTTTACACTTTGAAGGCAGAGATGGATTCCTGACTAATAAGGGAGTCAAAGTTAACTAGGGTAGACAAGACTGCTGAGTAGAGGCCATAATCTGATCAGCCATGACTTTATTGAATGGTAGAACAGACCACAAGGGCTGAATGACCTACTCCCATTCCTAAGTCATATGTTCCTCCATGCCCAATGAAACAGATAAGACCGTAGAAATGTAAGGTTGAATAGACTGGACTGATTTTCTTCAAATTGCTCAGTAAGATCACTTCCATTTACAGAATGCCCTGTAATGTGTTATTTATGACCTGTTTAGAAAGGTTTTTGATATATGCTGCTGTCTCAGATCCCCAACATACTCTGACTCCTCAGACCATTTGGAGAAGAATTGTGTGAATATTAGAAACAAGCAAGGACTCCAACAAGAGATGATTGAAATGGAACACAGGGATTGTGTTTAATCTGATGTGTCCCAATGTTTCCAAAACTTTCTCTTTCGCTCCTCATAAAATCATGTCACAGATCCTTAGGAAAGCCACCTGGCTTCAGATATATTGACCTTAAATTTGCGAGGGTTCACTTCCAAGAAAGAGTTTCGCTCAGCAAGTATGCCCATCAAAAAACTGGCCTTAGAAGTCAATGTAGCAGTTTCACGGCACCCTGAGACTTCTGTCTGTCAGTTTGCAGCAGGGTAGATTTTAAGATCTATAAGGCAACTGCCAGATCAGAGTAAGATGGCCATCCTTCAGAAATGCTTGGTCTTTACCCAAGTGAGGAGATGGCAGTGAAGAACTTGGCAAAACCTTTCCTGAGCAATTCAGATGTGAGGTCTGATTCTTTATGGGTCTAAGAAGGAATTAGTTTGATGGGCTGAATGACCTTTCATGTTCCAAGTGTATCATCTTCTGTTTTTATAAAACAGCTTGTTGGTCTCATCGAGATGTTAAATTGAGGGCCAGTTTGCCCTCTAAAGTAATTGTAAAAAATATCCCGTGACAGTATTTCAAAGACAACAAAGGGAGTTCTTCCACTAGCCGCTAACCTCCAATCGCTGATGTTAAAACACACTACCTGAATATTCAACTCATTGTTTTTCCTTGGGGGCTTGCTGTGTGTGAATTAGCTGCAGGATTTCTTACAACAGCGACTGCACGTACAAGTGCTTCACAGTCTGTAAAGCATTTTGCTATACAATGAAGTTGTGAAAGGCCCTATATAAATGCAAGTTCTTCCATTTCATTCTTTTTTCAGAAGTGGCAGGCAGAAGAAGACCATGAAGCTGTCCCGGGCCCTCTCGGATCTGGTCAAATATACAAAGTCTGTTGGGATGTGTGATATTGACTCTGAAGGTGAGTTGTAGTGATTTGCCATTCTAACCATTTCCAAAGTGTGAGCAGGGGCTGCTAGGCAACTTCCATTTTTGAGCATATGGAGGGATTGGGCACCGAAGACCAATTTGTTATTTTTTTAACCCCAATTTGACAGGTGCATTATTCCTCCTGCCATGCTGGGCTGTCACTTAGTGCCGGAAAAGTGGGCATTTAGTGGTCAAATTGATCAGCTTGTGCCTGTGCACGTCATTCATTCAAGGGCTAGACTTTCTATAGTCTCTGGAAAGACACTGAGAAAAAAATGAATTGTTTCTCTGGTTTAAGGTCTTGCTAGAAGCTACATAGATTAATTCGTCTATAGGAGGCAGATGGGAGGGAATGGCCTGGTGGTATTATCACTAGACTGTTAATCCACAGACCCAGATAACATTCTGGGACCCAGGTTTGAATCCTGCCACAGCAGATGGTGGAATTTGAATTCAATAAAATATCTGGAATTAAGAATCTAATGATGACCATGAATCCCTTGTCCATTGTCAGAAAAACCCATCTGGTTCCCTAAAGTCCTTTAGGGAAGGAAACTGCCATCCTTACCTGGTCTGGCCTACATGTGACTCCACATCAATGTGGTTGACTCTTAACTGCCCACTGGACAATCAGGGATGGGCAATAAATGCTGCCTAGCCAGTGATGCCCGCATCCCGCGAATGAATAAAGGAAATAAAAGGACCCTGTCCTTTGCAAACAGAAAGAACAAAGCCTTGAGGGATAATTGTTCCCTGCTGCATTTTCCACTTGACCAATCAGAGCCCACTTGCTAACCAATCAGCACCCTGTTTCTCATGCAGTTTAAATTGCTGTTCCCTCTGAAATTTGGCATTCTTGTTTCTGTTCTGGTGATTGCAAGATGAAAAATGTTCAGCACCTTGTCTCCCTTCTTCAGCAGGACTATAACCTATATTAAGATTATTTTGGATCTTCATATTAATATGAGTGTAAATTGTCACACTTACAAATCAAACACTGACACTGTCAGCTCATGTACTAAATGCCCTGCTAACTGTGTAGTTTAAGCACAGAGGCAATCTCACTCAGTTGACAATTGAGCTGCTACAGTTGTTGCAGTGCTATTGGACTAGGGGAAAGGAATGTTCATCCAAAAGAGAATTAGATGTTTATTTGAAGGAGAAAGCTTTGACCTCTTCCTGTGCTGTATCATTCTATGACAACAATCCTGTTACTATTGAGTGCTTTCACTATTTGAAGGGAGTTCCTGCAGATTATTTGAGGACAAGATCAGTCTTATTTGTGATATTGCATGTTGTTGCAGACTAGCTAATGTATAAAGAATGTGATTGACACTGAAGTGGTCCCAGGATGTGTTTGTGACTTTATTTTGAGAGAAGGGAAGAGAATGACAAGATTGTGGAAAATGTGGAGGCAAGTTCTTCTTGAGGAACATTACCGCTTTAAATGGTAATAGCAGTGTGCCTCCCATTTCTCTTTTGAAGATATATTTATTCTATCATGCGATGTTGGAATTACAAGCAAGGCTAGCATTTATTGTCCACTGCTAATCGCCTGTGATCTGAGTGGTTCACTCAACCATTTCAGAGGGCATTTCAGAGTCAACCACATTGCAATGGGTCTGGGATCAAATGCAGGCCAGTTGTCCCCTAGAGAATATGAGTGAACCAGATGGATTTTATGACAGTGGTTTCATGGTCATTATTACTGAGACTAGCTTTCAATTCCAGATTTATTGATAAATTGAATTTAAAATCCTGCAGGCATTGTGGTGGGAGATAGTAGGAAATGCAGATGCTGGAGAATCCGAGACAACAAGGTGCAGGGCTGGATGAACACAGCAGGCCAAGCAGCATCATAGGAGCAGAAAGGCTAACGTTTCGGGCCTAGACCCTTCATCAGAAAAGGGGGAAGGGAAGGGGGTTCTGAAATAAATAGAGAGAGAGTGGGAGGCGGATAGAAGATGGACAGAGGAGAGGATAGGTGGAGAGGAAACAAACAGGTCGAAGAGGCAGGAATGGGGCCAGTAAAGGTGAGTGTAGGTGGGGAGTTAGGGAGGGGATAGGTCAGTCCAGGGAGGACAGACAGGTCAAGGGGGCGGGATGAGGTTAGTCGGTAGGAGATGGGGGTGCGACTTGAGGTGGGAGGAGGGGATAGGTGGGAGGAAGAACAGGTTAGGGAGGCGGGGACGAGCTGGATTGGTTTTGGGATGCGGTAGGGGGAGGGGAGATTTTGAAGCTTGTGAAATCCACATTGATACCATTGGGCTGCAGGGTTCCCAAGCGGAATATGAGTTGCTGTTCCTGCAACCTTCGGGTGGCATCGTTGTGGCACTGCAGGAGGCCCAGGATGGACATGTCGTCTGAGGAATGGGAGGGGGAGTTGAAATGGTTCGCGACTGGGAGGTGCAGTTGTTTATTGCGAACCGAGCGTAGGTGTTCTGCAAAGCGGTCCCCGAGCCTCCGCCTGGTTTCCCCGATGTAGAGGAAGCCACACCGGGTACAGCGGATGCAGTATACCACATTGGCAGATGTGCAGGTGAACATCTGCTTGATGTGGAAAGTCTTCTTGGGGCCTGGGATGGGGGTGAAGGAGGAGGTATGGGGGCAGGTGTAGCACTTCCTGCGGTTGCAGGGAAAAGTGCCGGGTG